CAGCTCCAGTGACCTGTTGAAGACTTGACTCTTAGGAGTGATTTTGAGATGTTTGAAAACATAGGCCCTGACCTATTTGTTGTTTGTTAGCAGTTGTTTAGTGTTAATGCCCTGTTGCCTATTCAGTCATGCATAGTCTCCAGTCTCTCTGTTCTCTGATCAACAGGCCTTTGTAGTTATGCAGAGATTTATGTAGATCTTCTAAACTTGTCTTGCCTCAGATCATCTCCACAGCAGTGATGACCTACACCAAACACTTTGACCAGCACGGCCGCATCAAGGAAATCCAGTATGAGATCTTCAGGTCTCTGATGTACTGGATCACCATTCAGTACGACAATATGGGCCGAGTCACCAAGCGTGAGATCAAGATTGGACCATTTGCCAACACAACCAAATATGGTTATGAGTATGATGTTGATGGACAGCTGCAAACAGTCTCCCTCAATGAGAAGATGATGTGGAGGTAGGATCATGAAATTAAACTGAAAAAAGCACCATCATGTGATAATACCACATGTTAAAGGCATGATCTTCTGGCCTTCCAGGTATAACTATGACCTGAATGGGAACCTGCATTTGCTAAACCCTGGGAACAGTGGGCGGTTAACTCCTTTACGCTATGATCTGAGGGACAGAATCACCCGTTTGGGAGATGTTCAGTATAGGCTGGATGAAGATGGTTTCCTGAGACAGCGAGGAGCTGAGATATTTGAGTACAACTCCAAAGGTTAGTATTTCATTGGCCCAACATAACAGTGTAAAGGTCTAGTCACACCAGAAAGTGGCACAGTAAAGTTCATCTGTGTATTTGTCAGTTGACATCTAGCAGGGCTGGTGAATGAACAACAGGTGGGGACATGCTTGCACTACTCAGTCACAATCATGATTGCATAAATGCTCCGAGGTGGCTCGCTTGGTAACTGTGAATTATTACACTTGGTAGCTTGGTCACTAATAGGATAACAAGTGCACACAGTTTTTTCTGGTGATGTTAAACACCATCTACTGCTGTCTCTAAACTGTATAAAAACCAAAAACAAAAGCCTGTTTTGTGGAGCAGTTTTTTGTACTTAAATAAGAGTAGGTGGTGCAATACTAGCTTCCTCCATTTTGCGCTATTTGGCTCTCCATTC